GTGTGTGTGTGTGTGTGTGTGTGTGTGTGTGTGTGTGTGTGTGTGTGGTGTCATGTATAATTCAGAATACAGCCATAATTGCTTCTCTCATACTATCACGAATATTCCTGGGTTCTATTTAGGGTCATAGGGCTTGGGGGAAAAGCACTTTTGTTTTATCATCCCCTATAATCCAGTTCATCTCTGCCTATTCTATTATATTTTGACTGATCCAAATCCTTAAAGAGATACATATTAGACTAAAATCCCTATCATTCCCCTCAGGTTATGCAAAGGAAAGGAAAATCATACTCATGATTTGAGCCTCATATGTTTTTCTTTGCCTTTACCTGAATTGATCTTTGGTTATGTGATGTGTATTACATTGGGAGAAATAGCTATCAAATCAGGTATTTCATGAACATTACTAATTAGTCACATTTTTCTCTGTGTTTTCTACAGTTGCTCACTGTAACAGCAGCACAATTGGACACAGTGAATGACATCATCAAGAAGTTAGGACCATTGCTGAAATACCTGCAAGAGACTTGAAAATTCTTTTTATTTATTCAATGTCTTTTTTGTGATCCATTAGTATTTAAATAAATGAATAAACATCATAGAGAAATACCTCATTACCCTATGTATGAAAATTTTCTATCTCCTTCCACTTTCAGAAGTCATCTGACAGATTACATTTGTCTATATATGGCCACTGCTCTTGTATTTTCCAATGAAATTCCATGTAAGTGAGCCCATGTGAAGTGCATTTGTACCACTAGAGCACAATAAGCTCTGTGTATGTGACATGAAAATGCATGTATACACAAATTGTATGAATTGTTTGTAAATATATGTACATACCCAATGAACATGATGTAACATTGTCAATACAAATCACTAGATATCTTCAGTGCTGTCTTTTCTATATCTTCTTTTTATGTAGACATTTTTGATACTGATTTATTTCTTAAGTACAAGGTTTCAAATTAATAATTACAGAATAACAGGTTTGATATACAAATTTAACTAAAATATATCTTTTGAGCTGTATCCTCTGAATATTTGTCCCAAGAAGCTAATAGATGATGCCTGAAATAACTGGTAAAGAGGGAAACATGTTTGGAAAATGACCTTGAATATGGACCATTCATTAACTCATTTTAATTTTAGAGTGTGTATACATATATGTGTAAGAGCACACTCACTTATTATCACAATATCATAAATGGAGCCTCACTCTGCAAGGAAAGGTAATTATTTTCTATCAGGAATCAAAAATGAACAAGTTATTACTAAGCCATAACTCTACTTAATGCATTTTTTGGTATCTCATGTGGGGCTCTAACATAATTCAATAGATGATACATAATTTACATTTGGTTGTTTTAACAGATCCCAGGATTGTAGGCTATAAATATGTTTTTGTTCTTGTTTTTTTCTTCTGGGTTATTATGAAGGTTAGATACTTGTCCTTTCTCTCTGTAGGATGGAGATACTTAGAATGATGGTCAAATGCTGATTTCATATTCTAGTCTTCTCCAGGTCTCTCTATCTTTTTGTCTCCTATATTGATGAGGTTCCCAGGCTTCTTAATTTAGGTTTGGTCAATCATAGACATGGTGGACATGTGGCACCAGGGTAATAAGTTGTATGGACAGGAACGTGTTACAGCAAACCTCAATATCCTCCAAAGCCTGTAGGGATGTCGGTGACAAGGACAGTTTCTTGTTGGAAACAGGACATTGGGGTGATTTCTTATTCCCAGTGTCACAAAAATGTAGTGGAAAGAATAGAGTTTGCATTGACAAGTCTGTTTTATCAGAAATGAAAAGGCAGGAACCTGTTCTCTGCAGATTCTCAGGGAGAACAGGGACCATTGACTGTCTTTAGCTCTTGATCTAAGTGTGGAGTTTTGTGAGATTTACCCATCCATAGTGGCAGTTCAATTGGTGCTGCCACTTTTTAAGTCTCATTGGGGCAATTGTTGAAATTTCAGGTGCAGCCTTCCTCTCATATACTGAAGACAGGACCTCCTAGAAAATTTCCTGGTTCTCTGGCTCTTACAAGCTTTCTTCCTATTCTCTCAGAAAGGTACCTAACTTTAGATAGAGAAATTGCATTGTAGACATACCAATTGGAGTTGTAGACACTGCAAACACTTATTCTCTGTCTGGCTGTGGATTGCTTTATACCATAAGATCTCTGCATGCAACAATATCTGGTCAGTCTAAAAATAAAAGTGGTACCCAAAATATACACGGGGAGAGAACAGACAGAATCTGGAACTACATTTATTTTATTTTAATATGTGTATTAACTTTATAAAATGTTATCTTGACATCAAGACTAAGAACAGATTTGTGCACCATGTTTGACTTGATGTTTCCTTATAATCTGTAGATCATGGTGGCTCTGTTTCAGTTAGGTACTATATGGCTGTGATAAAAACACCATGACCAAAATCTGCTTGGGAAAGAACAAATTTCTTTAATTTTCCTCTAAGAGTTTACTGCTGAGAAAATCAGAGCAAGAATTCAAACAATTGGGGACCTGGAGAGAGAATTAAAGTAAAATAAAAAAGAATAAGCCACTTAGAGATGGGAAATATAAAGGGAGTCTAGATCCTATTGTTGATTTTGAATTGTTTGAATACTGATAAGCAAATAATAGCTGCTAAAAAAACATGGGATTGTAAACTAGAGTGTAAAATTGAACCAATCATGATACTTTAGGAATGCCTTAACTTTAAAAAAGAAGTAAGAAAATGTATTTATCAAATGGAAATCAAAAATGCTTTAACGTTTTGTTCCCACAGGAGATGAGAGACTATAAATTCCTTCAGTGTTAACATGGATCAGGCTTGATCAGATGAGAACTCCTGAAACTTGACAGGTGATATATATCAGGAAAGATTACTGCTAATCTTCACAGAATGTGGCAATTATCTCAAATTTTCTCTCTGGGACCCTAGAGCTATTTTGTCCACAGACAGTAGGAAGAAGTATGGAGAAAGCTACACCCACATTCCCAAGAGTTAGGGGGTGTTGATGATTTTGGTTATTTGGTGGGTTATGGATGTTTGTTATAATTTAGGGGAATATAGGAATTAGGATGAAAAGACAACTATTAAACTCAGATATTTTATAATGGCATGGACTTTGATATATTGCTATAAATATAAAGTTAATTTTGTTATACTCTATATATGTTTTTGTTCTTGTTTGGAGATTTTTTGTATTTTGATAAAAATTTAAGGTTATTTTTGTTACAACATATTGTATGTATATTTCTACTGTTGTTTGGGGTATTGTGTTTATGCAGTTCATTTAAAAATGCAAGGTATAAATAAGAAGCGAGATTAGTAGTCAATGCATAATAGTTAAACTTGTAGTCACATTAGATATGTTTTCCAGGTTAAATAGGTATATTTTAGAAATATAGATGGCCTTCAAACTTTTAGGCCTACCAAATATGGCATTTAAAATGTTTTGTTAACTTATGGGTTTTCATGAAAATGAAACACATCTCTCCTGTTAGTACCAATTTACTTCAGAGATGATGGGCATTGAAAAAACTCCTTATGGAGTTTGCTTTCACTGTGGTAAGGTTAGCCACTGGGCAAAGAAACTGTTCTTGCCTTTGACTGCTGACAATGTGCTGTGCAGACTGGATATGCATGACTCCCACAGGTAAGTGACCACTGAACTTGACCAACACAAGTCAGGATGGTCCTTCAGGGTTCCTGCTTCACAGAAGAAACTGCCAGATATCATACAGGATTCACAGGAAAGAGACTGTTGAACTTTGATAAAAACAAGTCAGGACAGTCCTTCAGGGTTCCTGCTTCACAGAAGAGTTTGTCAGATATTCTAGGCCTGTAGACAGAAGCATTCCCCAACATTGAAGAGGAAATTTGGGTGACTATCCAGTCAGATATCTCTGTCATTTCTAGAGTGTTTAGAAGTTGTTTGCAATGCACTTTTTGTTTACTCAAATAATGTTATCCTTCTGGGGTCTTTGATTGAGTTGAAGGCTAGATAGTTATAGTTGTAGTTTTCCTTTGCTATGATAGGAAGTAAATTATGTATAAAATTTTGTAGTCACAAAGATGGATGGATGGTACAGTGCTTTCTTTGAATTTGTTAAATGTAAATGGACTGAATATTGTAAATTAATTCTTACTTGATAACTGTTTTTGTTATGTGTAGTTTTACTATGTAAAAGTTAAAGCTGCACGCTGGTGGCTCATGCCTTTAATCCCAGCATTTGGGAGGCAGAGGCAGGTGGATCTCTGTGAGTTTGAGGCCAGCCTGGTCTACAAATTGAGTTCTAGGAAAGGCACAAGGCTACACAGAGAAACCTTGTCTTGAAAAAAAACAAAAACAAAACAAAAAAAATTTAAAAATTTAAAAAAATAAAAAAGTTAAACCCTTTCATTTTTATTTAGACAAAAAGGGGGATTGTAGTAGAATATTACTTAAGGTGTTTTACTTTTGATTATGTTGCATTTGTTTAACTCTGTAAAGCTGTATTACTGTGCCTTTGTAAAACACCTGATGGTCTAATAAAGAGCTCAACAGGCAATAGCAAGACAGAAGAATGGCTAGGCAGGCTGAGAGGCAGGGAGTATATACACAAGGAGAAATCTGAGGGAAAAAAAGAAGTAGTCAGAGAAGGAGGAGGACTCCAGGAGCCAGCCACCCAGCTACACAATCAGCCACAGAATAAGAAACAAAAGATAAACAGGAATAGAAAAGGAAAAGGCCAGAAGCAAAAGGTAGCAGGATAATTTAAGGAAAAATGGTAAGAAACAAGCCAGGACAAGGCTGGGTATTTATACTTAAGAATAAGCCTCTGTGTATGATTTATTTGGGAGCTGAGTGGTGGGCCCTCATAAAAGAGTAAAAAGTAAGAAACAACAGTTTAGCATGAGCTTTTGTGAGTGTGTGCTTCTGATGGGAATCTCTTTGTCACTTTGAGGACTATCAGTGCAGGCATCTGAATGGAGAGGAAGGACTAGGATCTGTTTTGTCTGGAAACATCCAGCCTAACACAGCGAGCACTCAAACAGATAAAGAAGTGGGCAGCTGCACCCATGGCAAAGTGCTGCTTATTGTCTTGTTCTTGCATGATTTGCTCAGTCTACTTCTTACAGCACCCAGGACCACCATTCCAGGATGGCACCACCCAAAGTGAGCTGAGATGTTGGACATCAGTTGTAAGAAAAGAGACCACAGTATTTCCCACAGGCTAATCTGGTGGTGTAATTTTATCAACTGAAGGTCTCTCTATTCAAATGACCCTTGCTTATGTCAAGTTGACACAAAACTAGCTAGGGCAGAGGCTTCCTCTTACAGTATTTCCATTATACTTAAGGAGTCTGGATGGTATTTGAAATAATAAAATGAGCTTGAGGATAGAGATACCAGGTTGCACAGAAAACTTGAAATGTTTATCTCCATGTTTATTTATCTAAGATTTATACCTATTGACTTGTAGGAACATCCTCCTGCATGTAAGGATGTGTGTGCTTTCTCCTTTCTCTCCTTCATAATTGCAGTAATGGGACTGCATGGCTTCAGGACCTTATATCTGCTAGTGGTTGTTCATCCAAATGCAGTATAGCTAAGGCGGCACTTTTGGTTAAAATGCCAAATATCACCTCAGTAAAGGTTAAAATTTTATGAATGTCTTTGAACATGCCTGGAGCTGTGCAGTGCCTAATTTCACTTATGGCTAGATAGTCTCATTCATAATAAAACTGATGAAACGTAAGATCAGAGAGATGTTATTAATTCTTTGGCACTTTCATATATTGTATATTTATAATATTTAATGCCAACTCCTCCACTTCTCCCACATTCACACCTTTTCCCAAACTCATCTACT